AGTGCGCCACCGGGCCGGCCCCATTAATTTCTTTTTTTTTTTTTTTTAAAAAAAAAAAGATGACTGGTAAGAGGACCTTAACCCTTGACTTGGTGTTGTCAGCACCATGCTCTCCGAAGTAAGCTAACCGGCCATCCCTATATAGGGATCCAAACCCGTGGCTTTGGTGTTATCAGCACTGCACTCCCTCAAGTTAGCCATGGGCCAGCCCTGGGCCAGCTCATTTGAATGCATCCAGACAGGCTCACATGTCATAAGGCAGCCTATGCCTTTCTTGGGCAGCTCTGAGTGTGTGTGCTACCTTCATGCTGAGCTGCCCCTGTGCAACCCCCTGCTATTGGCGCTGGTTCTGTTCTCAGGCTGCATGGGAGAGGGCTGCTCCAGCCCCATCTGTTTTCCTCACTGATTGATTCAACAGCTGTTTAGTGCCTGTCTTTGTACCAAGTGCAGGCACGTAGGGTTGAGTCAAAGACTCTGCCTTCAAGTAGACTGTAATTTAAGAAGGGAAGGAAGCCCCTGATCAGTGACAGTGCAGACATCTGAACGCAGTGGCTACCTGGATGCTGGGGCCTCTGGGTGGGGAGAGCTCCATGGACCCAGAAAATGCTAGGGCTGCTATAGGTATAGAGATGTGTACAACTGCTGGGGACCACATGGTGTAGGTTCATCAGACTTAGGGCAGGCTTCCTGGAAGAAGTCCCATTTTGGTTAAGTTGTACAGGTCAGGGAACTTTGTGTGGGCAAAGATAGAGTATTTCTGGGCTGGCCAATTAGCTCAGTCGGTTAGGGTGTGGTGCTGTTATCACCAAGACCCAGGGTATGATCCCTGTACCATCCTGGAAGAAGTCCCATTTTGGTTAAGTTGTACAGGTCAGGGAACTTTGTGTGGGCAAAGAGAGAGTATTTCTGGGCTGGCCAATTAGCTCAGTCGGTTAGGGTGTGGTGCTGTTATCACCAAGACCCAGGGTATGATCCCTGTACCAGCCAGCTGCCCGAAACAAAAATGAGAAGGGCTGTTTTAGCAGAAGCATCAACAGCATGTGGAAGGCTCAGAGAGTCCAGAAGGAGCCTTGCTTGATTGGTCCTGGTGTGAAATGACCAGGGTTCAAGGTGTGTTTGAGGGATGAAAGAGATGAGAGGGAGGCAAGACCCTGTAGCCTTGCTAACTATTTGAGAGTTTCTCTGATAAGTAATAGGGAGCCATGGAGGGTTTTAAGCAGTGGTGTGATGTAATTAGATTTGTGCTTCAGGAAGAGTTCTGGCTGTAACATGCGGAATACGGTAGAAGGGGGTTAGCCTGGTGCCTGGAGGCCAGGGAGGTGACAAGAGAGCAGATTAGATACAGACAGCCCAGACCAGGATACAGAAGAGAGCGGTGTGTGGTGATTGACATGGGCTTGCAGAGGCCTGCACTCTCACTCTGGACCCTTGCTTCCTCCTTGCAGACCCTGAAGACCTTGCGGCAGGTGGAGGTGATCAATTTTGGAGACTGCCTGGTGCGCTCCAAGGGTGCCATTGCCATTGCAGATGCTGTCTGCAGGGGCCTGCCCAAGCTGAAGGTGCCAGCCTGGTCATCTGCCATCTTCCCTCCAGTGTCCAGGCTTCCCCACACTCGGGGTTACTGCCCGTGCATGGTGGGGTTGGGAGGCAGAGGGTTGTGGTCTGAAGGCAGGTGGACCTGGGTCCATATCCCAGCTGCTCCACTTCTTGCCCTTGTGATTTTGTGTAAATCTTCTGATCTCTCAGAGCTTCATTTATAAAATGGGAGGAAGGGAGTGATGTACATTGAAGTAAATGTACTTAGTACTGGGCACATCGCTGGGTACATGGTGTGGGTTCTATTGTTGATGTTATTCTTCCCACCCCCTTTGCCCAATCTGGAGGACAGAGTCTGCCTTAGCCTCATGTGGGGAAACTGAGGCTTGAGAGTAGGACCTGGTCTCCTGGCCCAAGTTTCCACCTGCCTCCACTCCTTCCTCTTGTTTTTAGGAGCTGAACTTGTCATTCTGTGAAATCAAGAGAGATGCTGCCCTGGCTGTTGCTGAGGCCATGGCAGACAAGGCCGAGCTGGAGAAGCTGGACCTCAATGGTAGGGTGGGATACCCTCAGCCCAGACCTGCTGGACTGGACCTGGTGCCCCTCCTGACCTCCCTTCCCTCCCCCATGAGCAGGCAACGCCCTGGGAGAAGAAGGCTGTGAGCAGCTTCAGGAGGTGCTGGATGGCTTCAACATGGCCAAGGTGCTGGCGTCCCTCAGGTAGGGAACTCCAGGTGTGTGGCCCAGGAGGTCAGGGATCAAGCCATTCCTTCATATGTTCCTACTTTATTCATTTAACAAATGTTGGTTGAGTTCCTATTATGTGCCAGGCTCTGCACTAGACATTAGGGATACGAGGACAAGACAGTTAAGGTTTCAGGGGTTGGCCGGTTAGCTCAGTTGGTTAGAGCACAGCCTTATAACACCAAAGTCACAGGTTCGGATCCCCATACTGGCCAACCACACACACACACAAAAAAGACGTTCAGCGTTTCTGACTCATGGGAATAAACCTTTTGTATCAGTGTCGGTGCTGTCAGCACCTGGCTCCCTTTGCCCCTCAGATTTCTGAGTTGACTTCATTCATATACCAGACACTCCGTTCTGTCTCCTTAATGTCAGGCCCTGCGCTGCTGCTGGGAATGGGGGCTGAACCTCAAGAGGCCCACAGTCCAGGGGAAATGAACAGCCTTCCTCCCAGGGCAGGGACACCCCACCTCGCCCTCCTCCCACACCCGTAGCTTCCTATGGTCAGCACGGTGTGACTGGCCCTGCCCCAGTATCTCAGCCTGGACCTATCCTTGCCAGGCTCTGGGCCCCAGCTGCCATCGTCTTCTCCCTTCACTCTGTCTCCCCGTGGGACCAGGGGCTTCTTTGAGACAGGGACAAGACCTGATTCTTCTGTGTCCACAGCATGGGCTTCCCTGGGTGTTGGAAACTGAAGGACGTGCTCTCTGGTGATCCACAGGCCCCTGCCCCAGGAGTAGGTGCTCCCTTCCCACCTAGCTGGGGTCTCTGGTCCAGGCCTCTGAGCCAGCATGGGCCACTGGGTGGGGAGGGTCTGCTTTAGCCAGCTCTTCTCTGCAGTGATGATGAGGGTGAGGATGACGAGGAAGAGGAGGAGGAGGAAGGAGAAGAGGAAGAGGAAGAGGAGGAGGAAGAAGAGGAGGAAGAGGAGGAGGAGGAGGAAGAGGAGCCGCAGCAACACAGGCAGGGGGAGGAGCCACCCACGCCTTCGAGGAAGATTCTGGACCCTAACAAGGGGGTGAGTTCCTTGTGGTTTGCAGGATCGGGGCCCTGGTCTCCTGAATGTGAAATCCTGAGACATCTTCACGACAGGAGTGTCTTTAAGCACAGTAGCTGCAAACGTTTTTTGATTGTACCCTCCTGAGTAAAAAAAGAAAACTATCCCAGTGTAGTGGTATTTCTCTGTATTTTTTATTTACCACAGTATAGATATGTTTATTCCTTTACAAATCATAAAATGACTATAACATACATAATGCTGCAGCATTATGTGTATTATAAGACATACATAAATATTTCTAAAAGAATAGCGTAAAAAATAAGCATAAATAGAAATTCTGTTTTTTTCCCCACCCACCAGTGGATTATCTTGGTGACCCATAGGGGCAGCCAGCCCCCTCGTTCCCCAGCTTGTGCACTTGGTGTCCCGTGCCTGGCCAGGAGGCTGCTGTGCCCCCAGTTCATTTATTCAGATTCCCTCTCAGATTCCCAAATAAAGCTCCTGGAGACATTTGGGTTGGACAAGGACTCCCCATACTCGTGTTGAATCGGGCCGCTTGTCTGGTGTGTGGAAGCCGTTGAACCCGTGGCTGGGCACTTCCCAGTTCTGAGTTTTCTCGAGGCGCCTCTGTGCTCACTGGCAGTGCTTACCCCAGCTGGACTCTAGTTCTGGTGGGGTCTGCTCTAGCCCCCACATGCCTCATGTCTAGGGCATTGCATGTCATGGTGAGGATCCACTTGGCCATACCAGGCTTTTGGAGTCCTAGGGTGGTAGCTTGTCCCCCATCCCAAAGGCTCCTGGACTGGAAGCCAGCTGGTGCTAGCGTCTATGGGGCCCCACCCTTTGGGGAACTGCCACTGAGTGGGAGGAAAATTCTGGACTTTGAGTCTTGACTGGCTGGAGTTGGGGGTGGTTATTCTGGGTGTGGGAAGGGTCCCAGCAGGGCGAGGAGTATGGGGTTAGGAATTGTGCATACAGAGCCACCTGTGCTGCTGTTCTCAGGAGCCAGCTCCCGTGCTGTCCTCCCCACCTCCTGCTGACATCTCTACCTTCCTGGCCTTCCCCTCTCCAGAGAAACTGCTGCGCCTCGGGCCCAAGAGTTCTGTGCTGATAGCCCAGCAGGTAACGCCAGCACCTCCAAACCTGTGCCTGCTGTAGCCTCTGAGGCTGCCAGAGCAGAGGAACAGGCAGAGCTCAGGGGTTTGGGAGAGACACTGTCCGCTTGGGACAGGGAGCATGGCCTGCCACTGTTGTCTTTAACTGCAAACACATGGAAGTGAGCACATCCAGTGTATCAACCTCCAAGGGTCGCAGATGTCCAGTGCCCCACTACAGGAAGGGCAGCCAGCCACATCCTACGAAGGCTGGAGTTAGAGAATTTCCTTAAGACTCTCTCGCACATGCGCACCCGCACCTAGGCTTCTCTGTGCATGTTCTGTAGGCCCAGCTGCTTCTAGAACAACTCCCCAGCCCCTTTGGAGGTCAGGCTTATTGCAGGGAGTCTGCCCTTGCTCCAGCCTCACTGGCTGGCTGGCTGGCTGGCTGGTTGGTTGGTTCATTCAGAGATGATTATCAGGCTTATTGCAGGGAGTCTGCCCTTGCTCCAGCCTCACTGGCTGGCTGGCTGGCTGGCTGGCTGGTTGGTTGGTTCATTCAGAGATGATTATCGAGCACTTATTTGCTGCCTGGCATGATTTTATTTAACTCTCTTGGAAACACGAAGTGTGGACCCTGTTTCTCTTACTTTATAGATGAGAAGATTGAGCCTCAGAGAGCACACTCAGAGTTGGCTTGACATTTTGGCTAATTTCCATTTTTTTTCTCTAAACGCTGCCGCAGCCACCTCCATCTTCCCTGTGATTTCCTTTTAGTTTTGTCCATATTCTTTTTTTTTTTTTTAACATGATAGATTATATGATATAAAGCATTTGGTGTCCTACCATTTTCGCTTAACACCATTCATCATTTTCCTGTGTCACTAAAACTCTTTTCATGCCCTTTATTCCAATGAGTGTTTCTGGATATTTGGATATTTACATTTTTTCCACTTTTTTCTGTTGTTGGTGAAGTTGAGGTAAGTTTCCTTGCACATGAATACCATCTCCATCCTGGATTATTTAGGTTAGATTATAAGAGCAGGGTCTCAGGGATAATGAGTTTTAACGCATACTCATTCATGTATTCATTCACTCTACATGCTGCACACCTGCCATGCCCAAGCCAGACTCAGGGGACAGCACCGGGGGAGACAGGCCCTGGCCTTGCTCACCAGGGGCTTGCATATTGCCAAGGCCTCTTCTAGCCCACAGCAGAGCCCAGGCACATCTCTGTGTGCCAGGCCCTGGGGGTCTGGCCCCTGGTGACCAGCCATTGTCTCTGTGTCCTCAGACTGACACGTCTGACCCGGAGAAGGTGGTCTCTGCCTTCCTGAAGGTGTCGTCTGTGTTCAAGGACGAAGCCACAGTAAGGACAGCAGTGCAGGATGCCGTAGGTAACGAGGAGGGCTGGCGGCTCATTCCCCTTTGAAGCTCATGGCCACAGATGACATTTATTTATGGTTATTATGATTCCTCTGCTCCAGCGCTATTGTAGGAACTGCTCCTCAGCCACTGTGGCCTATCCTCCTCAGGTTCTTGGTGTGGTCCTGCCATGGAATAAGCCGAATGCCCTCTGTTTGTATTTTGCACCTGGGAAACTGAAGCCTGTCTCAAAGCCATACAGCCATTTACAGTTAGAACTCAGGCCAGGTGTTGTGTAGTGCAGGTGCCCCCTCTATTTAGGAAGGCCAGATAGTCATATCCACAAGGCCCGGTAGATGCAGTCCTGTCAGGGAGGGGGGTGGTAAGAGCTGAACCTTTGTCCCTTCTTGGGAGCCTTTGCACATGTGGTCCCTTCCACTTGGAGGTCCTCTGCACAGGGGACACTTGCTTCCCTGTATCATTCACAGGGCTTCCTGGGAACTCTGGTCCAACTCCCCCAAGCCCTGTCACAACCTTCTCTCCACCCTGTTCTTTCAGTTTCCTCCATTCCAGCACCTCCCACCTCGTCACCGTTTGTGTGACTGAGCCTCTCAGTGTGCAGCAGAATTGGCTAGGCAGAGAGGAGAGGAAGGGCCCTGCAGGGGAGGGGCACATTCATGGAAAAGGAGAGAAGGGAGTAGAAACGCATGTGGATTGGCACGCTGTGGGCGCTGTTGGGGCGGGGTGGTTCAGTGGGAAGCGAGGCTGGGAAGGAGGTGAGGGCCACGTGGGAATCTTGGCTCTGCTCCCTGAGAGCCCACCCCATGAGCGTTTGTGGGAACGAGCTGCCTGAATTCTGTTTCAGAACAGCCTGGCACAGTCCTTGCAGGTCCCCTCACCTTGCTAACATATCTGAGACCTCCCACAATGGTGGTCTGCCTCCCTAAATCTCTACAACTGTGTCAGGAGGGCATGGTGGGTGTTGTCCCCACACCCATTTTACACATGAAGCCAGGATAGGGAAGGGCCAAGGTGTCACGGCTGGTAGATTGAGCCCTGGCCCCCATGCTAACTAGCCCTGCAGTCTGGTACCTGTGACCCTGTCATCCCTCCCCATGTTCATCTCTTGATAAGTGCAGGGAGGCAGGGTATGCCTGTGTGGGGGGCGCTGCTTGGGGTGCCCTTTGGCCCATCCCAGCCCTCTGCCACAACTGGCTCCCTGCCTGCTGCTTCCACCTCTGCAGATGCCTTGATGAAGAAGGCCTTCAGCTCGTCATCCTTCAACTCCAGTGCCTTCCTCACCAGGCTCCTCGTCCACATGGGTCTGCTCAAGGTGAGGCCCAAAGGAGCGGCAGGCCTGGGAGGGAAGAAGGCAGGGAATGTACCAGAGGCTGTTCTGGTCACACCTGCCAGCCCATGCCATACCTCGAGTCCCATTCCTGTCACCACTTCTGTGTTGCTGAGGCATGGCTCTGCTTAAACAGCCTCAGTCTGCCTGATAGAATGTCAGCTGGACTCAGTGGTGGGGCACTGTCAGCAGAGGCCGGGGGGTGGAGACCAGGAGTTCCCAGGTGACCTTGAAGCTCACCCTGCCTTTTGCTGTGTGCAGAGTGAAGACAAGATCAAGGCCATTGCCAACCTATACGGCCCCCTGATGGCGCTGAACCACATGGTGCAGCAGGACTATTTCCCCAAGGCCCTTGCACCCCCGCTGCTGGCGTTTGTGACCAAGTGAGTGTGGCCTTGTCATTTCACTGGTGTCTGTCCTCTCAGGCTCTGATTGGCTGAGGCTTCTCTGGCCTGGTCAAGAGGCACCTGTTCCCAGGAGTCCCCGCTCAGCCAACCTTGTTGGCTCCACTCAGGCTTGTGAGAGGAAGAATACAGCTTCCAGTGAATCCAGCACCTTAGGGGCCAGGGACGCTTGGAGTGTGTGGGGAAGCGTCATGGGGAGGCGGAGCTGGAGGAGTGTGAGGAGCACCTGCCGGTGCCATGGCAGCCTTGTCCATCCCAGCTCCTTGAGGGTCCATCTGCACAACAATTCCTTCTTAGGCCTTACCCTCTCACCCCCGTCTACCCACCTCCCTGCCACCATGTACTCCACACCCAGACCACCCCTTGTGCAGCAGCTGGACTGGCCTTTGCAAAAAGCAGGTCTGACTAGGCTGAGCCCGTGGTGCACTCGGGAGAGTATGGTGCTGGGAGTGCAGCAGCGCTCCCACCGCGGGTTCGGATCCTATATAGGGATGGCTGGTGCGCTCCCTGGCTGAGCGCGGTGCGGCCGGTCACAAAAAGGACCAAAAAAAAAAAAAAAAAAAAAA